AGACGTGTGCTCTTCCGATTGAGGTAACTTTCATGTGACTTTCAAATTCTTCAAGGTCAAACCAATGGTACCATCTTATGGTCCCTTCGAAACCAAACAACTTTTGTCTGAAAAATTTTTCTCTCCCGGGCTTGACTTTCGAGATATTTGACTAGATGGATTAAAATGGTCCACCCTGTATATATTGGAAACGTGTAATGATAATAGTAACACTCGACAAAATTATACCTCATATCAATTTTTGATTAATTAAGAAAATGGAGAACATTTAAAATTTCATTAATTTCTCTCAAAATTTTAATATATTTTGACAAAAATCACCTAATATTAAGAAGGTTCTCCAGCTTAAAAAAATGGAGGAGAGTTACATGATTTGTTCTGCTTTTTAACATAGAAAAGAAAAGGAAAATAAAGCCATTGCCATTTATAAAAAATAAATAATAAATAAAATTTGAGCAATAAAACTGCAATTTGTAAAAAAATGTTTTGTTTATAATAAAAATAAATATTTATGTGGAAAAAATTTGAACAAAATTATTTGTAATAATGATTTGAAATGTAATTTTGATATTAATAATTCTGATGAAAACGTGGCAACATTTAATTTGTTTAGTAGTTGATAATACTTAAAGAACCGAAATTGATAAACAAAGTGCAGAAATGTGATAGAAAAAATATAAGGTTCGGTTTATTACCGATAATTAAAGAAAAAAATACATCTGTGTACTTTTGGTAACAATAATAAAAAAGAGAAAGTGTCGAAAAAGTGATAATCTAAATTTATTTCCCGTAAAAAAACATCGATTAATTGACCTAAAGGTTAATGCTGTCATGCCATATGAATTGATGTTGTTACGATTTCATTAGTGTAACGTCATTATTTAAATCGATTAGAATAATTCATGAACATTTCACACTCTTACACGAAAATAATACGATCAAAATTCATCTTGTTAATCTAAAATGTTCTTTAAACTTTATTCTTTCATATAGATATAACTTTTTAATTTTCTTATATTTTTACAAAAAAATTATTTAAAACTCTCTTTCTCATAAAGCTATTTAAGCTATTTTAGAAAATTATTTAAAGAAAATTAAATGGCTGAAAAATTTGAAAAATTCAGGAATGCCTAAATATTAATTATAAATTTATTCTCAAGTTTCTTTATATCATGTGAAAAACTGGAGAACCTCCTAATTTTATTTCTTTTATTATTAATTCTCTAAAGATAATTCAACTTTAAATATTCCTGCGTCGAATCCGCAGTTCTTTCGCGACATTCTCTCCTGGCGCGGAGAATTTTTATTATTTCGCATAGCATTCGAGAGCGCAGCTGCGAGAAGGAAAAATCTCGTCAAAGCTGTCGAGGATTCTCAAAGGAGAAGAGACTCAATACGCGGATTGCGCAGGTGGTTGCCGGCGTGATCGGTGCGAGGAAGCCGCAATACGACATCTGGGGCAACGCCGTGAACGTGGCCTCCAGGATGGATTCTACGGGCGTGCTGGACGGGATTCAAGTTACCCAGGAGGTTCGCGATATTCTGGTCACTAAAGGATATCCGCTCACGTGCCGCGGAACGATCCAAGTCAAAGGAAAGGGCAGTATGATAACTTACTTCCTGGACGGGCCGAGGGACAGCACGAAGTCTAATCAGATAGACGTCGCCAAGACGAATTTCAATAACAACACCGACGCCACGGTCGTCAACAATAGCAGCGGGGCTGTCTGATTGGTATTGCTTATACAATAATTAATCAGTTAATATATTTTAGAGAATCTTTTAAAATCTATTCCTCTCTTTTAATCTGTTTAAAGTGAAATTTATTACACTGTTAAATCTACAGTGTCAAATTTAATCCCATGTAAGTCACCACTGCTCCTACTTAATAGTTATTTTTAAATAAAACATTGAAAATTAACCCAAATTTGGGTTAAATTCGAACTGTTTCGAATTATTTAACTCCATTGTTTTAGTTAAAAATAACTACAGACAAACCTCGATAACTTGAATCTCAAGAGAAGAGAAAAACAAGTTATAGAGTTTTTGATTTATTGAAATTCGAGTAAAACAGGGTTAAAATATGAAAATTCGACTTACGGAAGCTACGAGAGTTTATACTTTTCCAATTATAATGACTTTTAAAGGAAAAAAAATCAATATTTTACAGTAAATTATTTATTGCATACATATAATAAATGTAATCATAAAACAGAATACCAGGCTATAACTCATGGTTACACATAGCTACAACTTCGAATTATAGAGGCAGCGACAATAGAAGTTCGACTTATAGAGGTAAACTTCTTGTTGAGGCCTAGCTATTTTACAAAGGTAAAATAATACATCTAAATATCTGATAAATAATTCAAGTTAAGGTAGGTTTTATTTTTATTTAAATTTTTTGCAGTGGAGCGGAAGGGAATGAACAAAATTTTCGTCTTATAGAGGTTTTCGAGTTGAAAAGATTCGAGATTCGATTGCATTTATTGAGTAGAAACGTAGTGACAACTTAAATAAAGTTAAATTTGACACTGTATAAATCTAACACTGTTAAATTTAACAGTGTATAAATTTTGTGTTAGACGCTAAACAAAACTGGAAATAACTTAAATTTTATCTTATTTTTTTCAAATATTTTAATTAAATATTTACGACTATATTATTTTGAAATGAAAATAATAAAAGTGCACGAAAAACATTGTTAAAATTCGAAAAAAGGAAACTATCGTGAGACCAGGAATATTCATTCCTATTTTGATCGATTTGCTGAATACGTATGATGCATGTTTGATGCAATTTACATTATGGTATCAGAATCGACCGCATAATCTCGCGATAAATTTGAATTCGTGAAGGAAGAAGGAATGCAAAGGGGGCTATTATCTCGAGCGGAGTAACAACCTGTAGTAATACACGATCGCCGATATCTATCCGAAATATTCCATAAATTGCTGCCGGAGAATATTACCTCACCGCGAGCTTCTCAGCTTTTTTTTTAACTGCTTTCACCTCTTCTTTGTTCTCTCTTGTATACATTAATCGATAGTTTAAAAGTAAAAATGTCTATTCTCCTTTTTTATATTATTCGTTTAATGCACGCCATTTTATATTGCACATACAAGTTGTGGAAGTATTGCACTTTTAAATATTTCATTTAAATCAATACTGTTTTACAGCGAAGTATTTCAATTCGCCGGTAAATAGGTAAAATTTTATTAGCTGACTATTTTATTGGCTCTTTCTTAAGTTTCAACGGTTTCGATTGATTAAAATGCATGATGTTTGTTTGCAACGACTTGCGATGCTCTCTATATATTTTCTAGAATTCTCACTTCAATATTCCTTTCGACAAATATTAGAAAAGCAAATTCTTACAGAAGTAACTTACAGCTGCTATCTTTTGATATGGCTTTACCCAGACGAGGTTTCGTATATTTCTATTTATTATTTTTCTACTTATATCAGCCATTAAAAATTTTATCGCGCCGCGTGATGTCGCGCTGTATCTTATTAAGATAAAGTAAGTCGCTACTGCAGCTGCGACAATTCGCCACGGAATTGAAATGCTCCCATAGGGGGTTGTTATGTAATACTTTCAACCATGTCGTCGCATCAGATACGCGCACGCTGGCGAGGACACGTGCACAATCAGTTGCACAACGAACATTTATTGCGCGCAACAGCGGGGCCCCGTTATCATGAAAAACCTCCGCTTTGTGCTTGAAATGTTTCATATGCGAGTAGCAAAAATTCTGTCTGCATAATGACGCATGCAGAAGTAAATTAATAAAAACGTACGCTAAACGACTTGGCTACAGACAAAACGATGTTTGTCGATTCGATGGTTAAAAATTTAAACGAACAGATAGCATCGTAAAATAAACAAGCACTGTGCATTTTAACAAACTGATATTACTATCAAAGCTAATAGAACTGAAGAAAAATGTCAATAAATTTATTTATTTATTTATTTATCACTTTTATTGAAATATTTCGTTTGCTCTGAAAAATATAATGCAATCCTGGTATTTCTGCACTTCTACACTGAGAGAAAGAGTTTTTGTATTTGTAACTATATTTGCAAAGTACTATAATTATGATTATTACTATTATAACGTTAATAATAATAATTATATGTATAATTTTATTAACAAATATATAATTGACATCAACAAATTTTGAAACTTGCTATATTATAATTATTATTGCCATAAAAATGGTGACAATTGCCATTATTTAATTATAATTTATAGTCATTTTCGGGGCCAACCATATAATATGGTTGACCTCGAAAATGATTGTAAATTATAGTTAAATAATGGTCATTGCAACCATTTTTATAGCAATAATAACTATAATATAAAGTAAGTTTCAAAATTTGTTGATGGCAACTATATATATATATATACAAATTTTGAAACTTACTTTATATTATATAGTTATTATTGCTGTAGTTTTATCAACATATATATATATATATATACAGGGTGTCCCGCCTCTACCGGATTTCCTTTTAAGAACGTGTTCCTAAGATAATTTTGAGACGAAAATCCTAATACAAAAATGTCGAGGCTATAATGTTTTTCAAATTATAAACGATTTTAGTTAAC